CCACAAGTAAGTTACCCAAGGGATCCTCTCAGCTGCCCTCATAGATCGGGCACAGGACCGAGGAAAAACGCTGAAGAAACTTGCCTGCAACCAATTTCTCTACTGAACAATACTGTAACAGTACATAGAATGTTAAGATATGTTGCAAAACTTCTGTATACATATTACCATACTATCCTACCAGAAAACTGGCTAAGTCACAGGTGAGAGCCCTAACCACAAACATAGCTGCCTAAAAAAACTCTCTGATGATTTGAAACAATAGCCAGTCAAGCAGAGCCAGGTTCACAATTTTTTTTTTTTTTTAATTTAAAGGAAACAGCCCCACATTGTTAGTTGGTTCGAGCGCCCTCATGTGTCTCAACAGGGTAATGTCACTTGAAGTTTTGCAAAGGTCTATTTAAAGGACAGATTGGATAATACACAAACCCTTCTCACGCCGTTCCGGGAGCCTCATGTGAAATTCTAAAGATTCACAGACTCTCCTGAGACTCAGTCTGTCCTGCTTGATATTAAGTGATGTCATGACATATATCTGGAGGAATGAGAAGCAGATGTTAACAGGCATGGAGGCTAATTTCCACTTGCCTGTTCTGGGGTAAGCCTGTCAGATCATCCTATCTTTTTCTTCCTGCTCCCCACTCTCTGCACCTTAAGGCCCAGGGTTCCAAGCACACATATTCTCTCTATCATTGTGCTGGCCATACCACTGAAGAGCTCAGAACTATAGCAAGCAAATCTCAGGAGGTTTTTTTCCACATCCATACTACAACCATGGGTAATCCATGTTTCTCCTTGGGTCCCAGTCTTCTCCCGAAGGAAGGAAAGGAGAGGTCCTTTCTCCTATCTAAGATGTATCAGCAAAAGTGTCTGGCATAGAGTAGAGAGGCACCCAGTAAATGCTAATTGAATGCAAACCTATAAACCATTCCAGTCCACTTGTCACATTATAGTTCCAGAAAGCAGATACAACATTCATCCTTTGAAAGTATCTTGGGGGTTCCTGGAGCACAAGACAAGGTCCACTCTGTCTGCACTTTCCACGATGGCTAACCTAACTCCGGACACATTGTGACCCTCCATAAACCAGTGCAGGGGAGGGGTGAGTAGGAGTAGGGTACAGGAGAGAGTTTACCTTCTTAATATATTCTCTTGCTTTCTTTCTTTGGTACAGTTAAAAGCAAAGATGTGTTAAAAGGCACGGATTCATTCAAGAATCTGAGACCATCCATACAAAAAATCTGTTGTCTTTATTTTTTAAAGAGGGTCAAAAAATGTTTTACACACACCTTCCTCCTTCTCTTCTTCCCATCTTTGTCTTAAGGTTAGGAAGGCAAGAATGAACAGTCCAAGAGAATAAAACACAGGCCCAGAATTGCCAAGCAAAAATGGTCTAATGTTGGTCACTGTGTCAGACCAACCATGCTGGGTCTTGCACTCTGTTAACAAACGTTAACCAAAAAACCACGCTCTTGGGCTTCTCTCACCAAAAGGCAGAGGACTGTTCACTGCTTAGCTTCAAGCTAGCCAAATCCAATAAAGCTTAATCTTCTCACTGAACTCATGCCAGCACTGCACGGGCACAGCCAGGGCATCATCACCCAGCCTTAGGTGTTGGCAGTCTCTCTCTCACATTTCTTAGCACTTTCCCTGCTCAGGGGCAATGGCAAAGATACCCTTTCCTCCCACCCACTGTCCCCCCAGGGCACCTCCAACTGTGCAGCCTGGCTCAGGAAGACTCTCTACCTACTGATAGTGCAGTCAAGTCCTTTTGTTAGGTAATTCTACAATCCTAACAGAATGCCAGAAAGTGCCTGTCTCACGGAGACTCTAAGCAGTCCTCACAACTAAAAATCATGGCCAAAAGATGGGGAGGGGGACAGTCTGATATACATTATCTCCATTATCATTAAACTGGGAGAAAGATGTTTTCCAACAATATCCATGGGTTAATGAGTAATGTCCATTTGTTTCAATCATCTCTCATAATTATTTCCCTTTCTTTCTCATTACCACCAACTTAACCTGGTTAACCCAAACTGTCATGAAGCCTCCACTCTTTCTTTCTCCAAACCATCATCTGCATGATGAAAAGACCTTCCCCAAGCAAATTCCAACACATCATTTAATAATTGCTATTCAAGAGTCCAGACGCCAGTAATCCCAGCACTTAAGAGGCAAAGACAGGAGGATTGGGAGTTGGAGGCCAGCTTGAGGTAACAAAAAAATAAAAGAGCCTAATGACTCCTGTTGCTTGCAAAATAAATTCAAACTGAAATCTGGCATTCAGATTTCTCCATATTGCCTTAGATCCCACCCCTGCCCCAAACCCCACCCAGGGAAAAGTCGAAAAGGAACCAGCCATCAAAGTCCAACACAGCAATGATTGTGAATGCTCAGCTAGTCCTCAAATAAATTGTGAACTTCTGGTAAGGAACTTTTCACTGGGCATATCCACTTAGATGTCCACTCCCTCCCTTGACACTCTCAAATGTGGTGACATGCACTCTAGTTATATTCAACCAGTGTGGCTGACCGTCATTGTATTTCTTCAAATGACAGCTCACCTGCCATTGTGAAACACTTGGCACACCTAGCAACAAACCTCTAGGCATGCAGAGGTAAGTGAACAAAAATAAGGAGGAACAATAAATAAACATCTGAAAAAAAAGAACCAAAATACATCCTGATACTTGTAGGACATTGTGTTCTGGTGAAAAGATCAGGTAGTTGGAAAAAGAAAGTGGATGGCTGCAGACAAACCATCATCCTACCAAGCCGGGGACCAACACAGTGAAAATTTGGCAAAAGAAGCAAACAGCAGTGCCTTTACTAGTAAACAACACCCAAAGAGGTAGAAAAGGCTGAAGAACCAAAGTCAAGACACTCAGGAAGAACGTGTTGTCCTCTTTCTGGAAGAGAACACCAAGTGACATATTTTGCATGGCCATATATCCACTATTCCTGCCTAAAGCAAAAACAATCTCGAAGATTTTCAGAACAAGAGCTTTATTTTTTTTAAATGGCATTTCATAGCTTTTTGCTAAATTTTTAAAAAGCAATTGCAGAGGTTAACATCCCTCCCCACAAATCATTCCCTGAAGATCCTTCTGTAGTCTTCCTCACCATTCTAGCCAAAGCTGCTCGTGTCTGTGTCCTGCCAGTCAAAGTCCTGGCATCCGGAGACTTTAAGAGATATCACTGGAGTTGGCCATCTTCCCAACTTGGTTGCAAGGGCTTTAAAGTCAAGACTCCTTCATTTGCCTTCCTCCAGATCTCTTCTCTTTTACTCTTCCCCACTTACCCCCAACACTCAGCCCAGAAAGTTGGAAAAATATCAACACAGTTGATATAAACTGAAATGCCCTGGTTATTTAATGAAAATCTCTTCCTTTCTTTTAGATATTTCCTATACCTTTTCTCCCTCTATTCCTTTTCCTAGCAAGTATTCCTGCATTTCAACAATCCTTTTTTTGCTAACAGTGGGCTGTAAGTCACCCAGGAGAGCCCACTCCCCCACACATGTAGTGCCAATTCCTCACTGGGTTTGTGATTAATAGAATCAGCACTCTTTTCTTAACTTTAACTTTCAAGTAAAGACTTTAAGATTTAAACAGAAGCCACTAGCTCCATTTCTTTGCAAGATCATCCTGCCCAAGTCTATATAATCACCAATGGCCTTTCTCACTTACCTCCTGAAAATTTTGAACTTTTTATTGTTTAATCCCTTCACCTCTCTTCCACCCTTAATGACTACCTTCCTACTCTGAGAAGTCCTCTCACAAGTTACTGACAAGCCTCAGTGTTGCTTATAGCCTACTCATAAGAAAATATGAGCTGCTATGCTAAACATGATTCGTGATTCCACTGTAATTTTCCCATTAAGTCTAGAGTTTATCAGTCTTCTCTCCTACACATTCTGGTCTTTCCCTACACTTTTTTCCCAGTTCCCACCTCTCTGTCTCCTCCCTGTTCCCCCCCAACAAGTGAACTGGTTTACCTAGCAGGTTTAGTCTTGCTCTGACCAGCTTATTGTTTCAACCTGATTATGTAGTTGCTGGGCTTGAATACACAGTTTATTAATTTTCAGGCATTCGCGATGTCTCTCTGTTAAGTGTAGGGTGAGAAAGGGTGTGTGTGTGTGTGTGTGTGTGTGTGTGTGTGTGCCGTCTATAGTAATAACACTCCTGGAATTCACAGTTTCTGGTGGCAACTGAGAAGTCCTTTAATGTGTGTTACCAGAGAAAATCACAATGTTTTAGAGGTGTAAGGAATAACAGAGATACAAGGTTGGCATTTTACAGATTTGAAAACAGAGGGGTAAAGCAAGGTGAAAGGACTTGTCCAAGGTCATAAAGCCAATCAATAGAGGAGCAGAGGTCACAGCTCAGAGCCATCATGTCTCAGTTCACCAAGGCTCTTCTGCTCATATGCATTTTGGAGGAATGAGAACTCAGGATGCCCACAGATCACACAAGTGCATCACAGATGTGAACATGTACATGTAGAGATATTACATCTATCAATCACTTACAACACAGAGCACACTGTGTTAAAGTTGGAGTAATACTGCTCTGATTAGATTAGGTTCTAATCCAAAGAAATCATTCTTCCCCACCCTAACTATGCTACCCATCCCCCCAGTAGCTCATTTTTAAAAATGAATAAATTTCAAAAGCACCTTGGAGAGATTTTCATGTGATTTTCTTCTAATTCAATCAATACAAAATCATCCCTTAATTCAGTAAAAAATAGCGTTTCCACACGTCCCTGCACACACATATAAAACATTGGCATTAGGTACTTTTAATTTGCTGGAAAATATTTCTAAGAAGTCAAAAAGCTCCAGCTGAATAAGCGTGTCCTCCTATTGGCTAAACAGGCCAGCTGAGGGATCTGATTGGTCCCTGATCCCGAGGACCGATAAGAACGGCTATAAAATGCCTGGGTGCAGCGCTTGGGCCCCCAGTTTGCAAAAGCCTGAGGTGCAAGAGGCAGCAACTGCAGCAGGCACAGCAGCAGCAGCAGCAGCAGGCACAGCAGCAGCAGCAGCAACCAAAAAAAAAAAAAAAATCTTCATCAAATCCTCACCTAAGCTCTCAGTATATCCAGATCCACATCTTCACTCAAGCCGGGAGAGGGAAAGAGGAAAGGGGGGAGGAAAAAAAAAAAAAAAACCCAACAACTTAGCGGAAACTTCTCAGAGAATGCTCCAAAACTCAGCAGTGCTTCTGGTGCTGGTGATCAGCGCTTCTGCAACCCATGAGGCGGAGCAGAATGACTCTGTGAGTCCCAGGAAATCCCGGGTAGCTGCTCAGAACTCAGGTAAGCGCAAACCCAGGACCGGTTTCTCCCCCAAAGAGCTGTCCTCATTTGCCTCTCACTTTTGCAACTGTGTCTGTGAAGGCTGATCTTGATAATGAATGTGCTTCATGTCTGATGGCAATAAACTGCTAGTGTAATCCTAGCCTTAGGAAGTAGAGCTCCTTTGTTTAATAAATTGCATGCAACTAAGGAAGAAGCCGGGCTCTCTGCTGAGGGTATTTCATTGCATAAGCCTAGCCTGATTGCCTGAAATCTGGCACGTACCCTCTTGGGGGGAGGGGACGGGGAAAGGCTTGAATGTTGGCATGTTTCAAAGCGCTCTCTATACTTTTCAGAAGCTAGTCTTAAGGTGAGACACTGCTGATCTGAAGCTGTCCCTCTCCTTTCCCTTTTAAGACCCTGCAACTTGACTTCTCTACCTCTTCAGAGAACACATACAGAGGCTCCCTCTTTAGACTAATTTTCGGAACCATAGCCCTTAAGTCTTTGACAATCCAGGGCGGATTCGGAGAAAACCCTATACATCCCACCCCCAACACTGCTGCCTTTCTCCTCCCAGGGCTCTCTTGAGCTCCATTCAATCGCCCATGCAGCCCACAGCTAGGGAACCCCTGAAAAAAAGTCTTAGAGAAACGAAGTGGTCATTTCTCCAAGGGGAAGGTCTCACTTTCGCGCTGACCCCCAGAGCGTTAATTGTGTGTGATCCTGGGCTTTGTAGGAAAAGAGGCTTTAGGAAGCCCGCACTGACACCTCTGCCCCCTGACTCCCCAGTCTCTCCTCTTGCATTTCTCCCCTCTCTCCTCCAACTGTCAGCAAAGATGGGATCGCAGGTGTCACGATGCTGCAGACTCTCCCCTTGGAAGAGCGCAGGTTCCTGCCGAGGAGGGGTTTTGCCTCACTTCCTTTTGTACTTAGTTGCTATAGAGATGCCGTGATTCACAATTCAAGCTTGCCTAAAACAATAGCAGTCCTAATGCATATTAAAACTGCTTAAAGCAAAGTTATAATTTGAACCCGTGGAAATATATAATTAGGGAAATGACTTGTAACATCCCAGAGGCTGCGGGTGGTGGAAGGGGGTGGGGAAGCCTAGCTGAAGCACGCTTTTGATCTTGGAGAATCCTACGGTAGGAAGGCTACAGATCATTTCTTGCCGAGCTGCCTGCCAGAACACCCCCCCACACACCCCTTTCTGTGGGAGAGAAATTACTTTTATGGGAAATCTTATCCAGAATGTAGAAAGCCTCATGCAAGTTCTTTGTGGTTTTCTTCCAGTCTTGCACAAGGGGTGCCTTGGCCTTATTATTCCACACCTATATTTCTCTTTTTTTAAAAGAAGGCTTTTAATATGAGAGATTATATATGCCTTTAAGCACTGTCCTGTAGTGGAGGGTTGGGGTGAACATGAACAGATCAGATTCCTTTCTACCAATGCAACGATAAGTTGAAAGTCCCAAATCAGATGGATCCTCCCTCCAAGTGGACTCCTGGTACATTGTTCTCTGTCATTTGGATTAAAATCCCATGCTTTCTACTCTGGAGTGCATTTTATACAAGCCAATAGATTCCCTGACCCTCCCACCTCCTAAACCTGACCACCAGCCACTACACTCTGCCTTCTCATGCTTTCGAGTTTCAAGTGATAACCATTGATCCTACAGACCTGCCACAAGGCACTGGAGTTGCTGGACTCCAGCCTTACGTCTCCAGCCCTCATAATGTATGTAATGGTCAGACCAAGAGAATGAGTCTCAGAGGGAGAACTCCACATGCTTTGGCTCTTAGAAGCAAAAGGGACCTGTCAGTCCTCCCTTTTTGCCCTCACTCCTCTTCAGATGGGCCTACCTAATAGCCCTCAGTTTGACAGCTGGAATCAGTTCTGATCCCTAGCCCTTCAACTTGGCCTCTGCTTTCACTGGATCCTATCCAGCAACCCTCAGTTTGACCCAGCCTGGATGTGCTTGTCTCTTACAGCTGAAGTTGTTCGCTGCCTCAACAGTGCTCTGCAGGTTGGCTGTGGGGCTTTTGCATGCCTGGAAAACTCCACCTGTGACACAGATGGGATGTATGACATCTGTAAATCCTTCCTGTACAGCGCTGCTAAATTTGATACTCAGGTAATAAAACCTTGACTTCTGCTCCTACTGGTTGCTTGACTTTAACAGTGTTCAACTATTGTTTTTAGGAACCAGTCTTGTAGGGAACCAGTCCTACTTCCCACCCTCTATTCCAAATGCCCATCCCAGGGTGCACACATGTACACGTGCACATACACGTGGTTTGGAACAGGAAGTAGGTTCTGTGTAAAACACTCCCCACCCCCACGGGCAGAGGTTGGCTATAAGGAACAGAAAAGCTTTTCCTCCTCAAGAAGAAACAAAAAAATGTCTTCTAACAAAGTAGTTCTTGCTGTATGACCCAGTATACTAGCCTGCAATCTGAATTATCGAAGTCTCAATCCCAAGAATAGGAAAGCAGATTATAATGATTTTCAAACTGCAGAGTGGTGGATGGTGGCCCCTCTCTTTTTTTCCTCTCATTTTCTTTCTGTGGAGCTCAATTCTTAAGATAGTCTAAAAGAGAAGGGATTTTTTTTTTTAATTCTTGGTCCTGGCATACAATCTTCTCACAGCAAGGATATGCAGATGGCCATGATACCCTGCCAAAGCAAGCCCCCTTAAGGTTCCCATGTCACATACCCTAACCTCTTTGGTCAGGTCAAGCTAAAGCTTTTCCTCCTATCTTCGCTCCTCTGCAGGGAAAAGCATTTGTCAAAGAGAGCTTAAAGTGCATCGCCAATGGGGTCACCTCCAAGGTCTTCCTCGCCATTCGGAGGTGCTCTACTTTCCAGAGGATGATTGCTGAGGTGCAGGAAGAGTGCTACAGCAAGCTGAACGTGTGCAGCATTGCCAAGCGGAACCCTGAAGCCATCACTGAAGTCGTCCAGCTGCCCAATCACTTCTCCAACAGGTATGAGCTCCATCTCCTTCTTCGCAATCAGGGGAGGAGAAGGGGAGTCTGCTTGGCAGAACTAAACTGGGAAGGAAGGTTAAATTGCTACACTCACACTCTTATTTTAGCTTGCAGTCTTCCCAGCTTTTGCAGGAAAAATATGTTTGTGATTGGTTGTGACAGTTGAAGCAGCTTGGATTTTTTCCCCCACTGTTACAGGAAAAGTCTTTCCATGCAGCTAAGAGAAAGCTCAATTTGCAGCATCCTTGGGTGCATTTCTTTGTCCACTTCTTGCCTTAAGCCTGAAAGAAATGGTAAAGTTTCTGGAAACCACTGTTTGAGACATCAGATTGGGCTGAAACTATGACTGTGCAGCCATGATAAAAAAAAAAAAAAGAAAGAAAGAAAAAAAGCCCTGGTCATATGTCTTAATGCAGACTTTTGTTAAATCTGCACAGATTCAAGTCAGTCCCAAACCAAGCCAGATATTTCCAGGTTAACCCAGAACAGGCCATCTTACTTCCCTGGAACTTGGATTTTCTGTGTGACAAGTGACATGGCTAGCTGGCACTATTCTTGCATTCCCTTTCAAGCATTATGTTATCCCATCCTTCCAACCCAAGATTTCCCAGAAGGAAGCACTGGTGGCTGCCCAGATCACATTCCCATCTTACTGCTCTCAGGTGACCCGAAGCCACTGAGGTCATGCCATTTGAGCATCATGCCTTGCTATGCCCCTAGCCTTTGCCAGCCAAGAGTGAACCCCCGCTACGTGAGAGAATCGGCACCCTGGTTCCATATGGGTAGTCTGGAAAGGTTTTCAGCAAGAAGTGAGGGATTCTGCCAGGGCTGATTGGAGAGATTCAGGGGAATGCAGGCCAGTCAGTGTTAGCCTACCATGATAGCCCTGGGCCTAAAACTTCACTCCCAGTCCTGAAGATCTATAAGTCTGACTCTCCAGTCAAATGTGCACACAGTCACAAAGATCATCAGATGTTACTCTGATCCCCTGGATTAATTTCCTAGCCAGGGGCTACTACCTTCTTCAGAGAGTAGCAACAGCCAGTTCCTAGGGCTTACGAGATGACATACTTGTGCGCCACTAAAAAACCAGAAATACAGCTCCTCCTCAGAAAAGGTTACGGTTTCCAACATGCAACCTTTGTACAGTTTCTGATTCATTCTTGACTATGAGTTAGTTCCCTTCAGAACTACAAGTCAACTTAATGGAACTCATTCGTCAAGTCCTTGGAAAGTGACTCTTTCATGGGGTTCTAACCAATTTTCTCAGAACAAGAGAATCAATTCCATAATTTCCCTCAACTGGCTTGTCTCTTTCTATCAACCACAGTTTTAAAATTCTCTTAGTAAGTTTCTTATTTGCATGGGGGAGGTAATGGACTTGAATATTTGTTGGAGACTCCTTTCGCCCTAAGGAAAAGAAATGAAGACTTCTTAGACAATGACTAGGAACAATGTACGTGCTTGTGCAAGAGTTGGGGAAGGGGCGTGTTAGCAAAGTCATCATTGCAAGTGTAGATTTTTAAGTATCCTGTGACAAATATGATCTATAATATGGCGTGTAACCAATTTCAAAGCAATACTGATTTCACTATTTCACCTAAAAAGAGGTTTTCCATTATGAAAGGAGGGAAGGAAGATGCAGATTTTGAGCCTGGAGTGGTGGCTCACACCCGTAATCCTAGCTACCTTGGAGGTTGAGCGCAGGAGGATAGCAGTTCGAGGCCACTCAGGCAAAAGTTTGTGAGACCCTCCCCCTCCCATTTCAACCAGTGACTGGGCACAGTGGCACATGCTTGTCATCCCCAGCTATGTAGGGAGGCACGAATAGGAGGCTCATGGCCCAGGCCAGCCCAGGGAATAATGCAAGACCTATCTCAAAAATCACCAGCATGAAAAGGGCTTGGAGTGACTCACTGCCTAGCTAGCACGAGGCCCTGAGTTCAACCCCCATACTACCAAAAAAAGAAGAAAAAATGCAAAGTTTGAACTATAGAATCCCCACTTGCCCACTTACCTAAGAAGAGACTAGTAAAAACAATTCTTAACCAGACCATTATTCCTTTTAATAATTGCCTTATTTTCAACACCTTTAAAATATGATCACAAAGAAAGTCTGCTTACTCTCTCTTTCATCTTCAGAGGCTCACACTTAATAGGAAAGGTCAGTGGGGAAAAAGTGGCCTGCTCTTGAAGGCCACAATCTCTCATTGCAACTCTTACCTTTCGCTTCAGTGAGCAATATTATTCCTGTTCAGGACTGTAGAGATTTCCGGTTCCAGGCTGGACTTGACTTGCTCTATTTAAGCTTCTCACCCGCCTGAAACATCCTGCTTTCCCAGCCTCTGTCCCACCGTAGACACACACGAAGTTGCTGCCAATTGGCACAGGATTGCAAAAGGAAGTAGTTACAGGTTCATTCCACCTTCCTGTGACTTCTCTAGCACAAGATTTGGGGCTGGGAGAATCCAAAGCCTACAACTGGATCAAGAAGCAGAATGAGGGGGGTTTTCCATGTCAAAGGTGCATCTCAAAGAGGAAAAGGTAGTTGGAGTATCCCCTGGTTGAATTTGTCAACTGGACCTTCAGCCCTGAGGAAGGCAGACAGAATTGATCAGGCAGTCAGGGTAGAGTGAGGCTTGGGAACATATTAGACCAACCCAGATCCAGAGTGGGAAAACTGACAAAGCGTCCAACTCTCTAGGGCATGGATAGGGAACAGGAAACAGAAGAATAATATTGATCAAGGGAAACAAAGGACTATTTATAAACCCTCACACAGAACGTTCCTAGGCAGAATGTGTGTATTTGGGGAAGCATGGCTGAAACAGTAGCTATGGAGAATATCTGATCTTATTCTTTACCAAGGGAAAAAAAAGTCAGGGATGGAATTTTCGAAGTGGGAAGAAAGAAAGATGCTTAAAAATGTCCTTCCAGGCTGAATGCTCAGAACTCTTAATCCACTGAATCTTTGCAGCATGTCCCCTTTGCTCACCATAAATTCTACCAAGATGAAGAAAAGACTTTCCCACACCCCTAACTCTTCCTATGTGGGAGGAACCTTCAGCTGAGCAGCATTTTTTTTTCTTAAATGAAGAACAAAAATGTGTATTGAATTCCTAGAAACCTAGAATGCTTTAGCTGAAGATGACTGCTCTCTCAATTAACTGCCTCGTTTACCAATTCAAGAACAGAGGTTCAGGGAGCAGAGTGACCTGCTGAAGGTCACACAGCTTGTAAGTAACAGAGTTGAGCCCAGATCTCACATGACTTTGAACTGATCTATTTTAATTTCTACTTCAAAAATGGCAGCCAGAAAAAAAAAACCTGCAATAAATATCCACAAACTAAAAATAGAATTCCAAGCATAATTGAATATATAAGCACCATGGTGGGTGGCAATTAATTTTACATGCATTCTATCCTAAAAAAAAAAAAAGATACAGCTTCCCTATAGCTAAAGTTATAATATGTCTCAGTAAAAGAGGGTGCTGGATAAATATGCAGCAATTGCTAAGTCACCTTTTGCTAGATGCACAACCTCTTCAGAAATCTATATCCCTTGGTGACCTACAGGAAAGATTTCTCTTTGGTCATCATAGCCCAGAAGGGAATGCCATATTCCAACCCTAGTGGAGACGCACAAGGTTCACTGCCCTGACATCAAGGCAGCCTGACATGTGCTCAGCCTTTGAAGAGCTTCTAATGGGACCGTGCACTATTTTCTATTTTAAGGAGTTCTCTTGGCTACCCTCCTGAGTTAACAAACTCTGTAAGAAAAGCAGCAAGGGTAGATTTGGGGTTGGGAGACCACTATGAGCAATCATGAGATACCATCAGAGAAAAAGCAATGCTAAAGGTAGGAGCCCTCACAGCAAGAGAGTAGGCACTTTGACATAGTGGGGCCCCAAGGAAATGTATGGCCCTGACACTGCAAAGCCAGCAGAGAAATGTAATTTCCTTAAGAAGATTGGGTTTCTTGATCCAGACAAGCACTTCCAATTCTCTCTAAGGAGAAAGAACTTTCCACTCTTTCTTTCTAAGGAAAGATCGTATTTTCCACACCGTTTAGGGGCTCATCTGACACAAATAGTTCTTTAGAAGTGGAAGGGTTAATTTCTATGGTAGCTGTAAAGTCCTCATTGAGCCTTATCCTCTAGGAGCTAATTGACCTCTGAAATAGAAATGAAGATCCAAGGGATCCAGGTAGTGGCAGAGGTTAGGGAGGCCCAGAGATCAATGTGGATGCAAATGTCTGAAGCTGTTGGTACAAAATTTTTTATTCTCAGTTTTTCTAAAGTCAGTTTTCTCCCCGTCTCTCCATCCAAGTAAGCTCTGCTTGACTCATGTGCTTTGTAATTCCAAAGGATTGGAAAATGTTCCTCTGTGCCAGAGAATCCCAGCTTCACTCACAGCTGGATGTAATTGTTCCTGGAGGGAGGGGTGCAGCCAGGACTGTCCGACCTAGACACTCCTCTTCTCTTTTAGTCCCCAGCTTCATTCTCTCACTAACAGAAGAGTGACCGCTTTGCTTCATTACCAATGTTCCACTCTATTTACTGTCCATCCTTGAAAAGGCCTCTCTGGGGGTTAAGTTATTCTGGAAAGATGTTTGATCCTGTGCTATGGGAGGTGAGTTAAAAATAAACAGATTTCTTTTCATGGAAGAGTCTGTGGCCCCACAGATTCTCAGGCTGTTCTGAGGAAAGGGTCTCTCTGCATCAATACAGCAGGTCACTGTCATCAGGAAAGTCTCCTATTATTGATCACAGAGCAAATGGATTTTGACAACTGTCACTTCAAAATGGATCAGACACATCCCAACTCAAATTGGAAAATACCTGAACTGTTTTCCCAAAGAACAGCACAAGTAGTTCATATGCTCTAAATAGTAGGCAGTTTAATCCTTTCTGAGCCATAACACTTAACTGCATTGCCTAGGATGTTTAAAGAATTTGCTCCAAAGATGAAGGGAATTTATACTAAACACAAGGGGTTTTGTTTAAAAAAAAACAAAAATAAAAAAGCCAGACATGCAGATAGCTTGTTTTCAGGAAATTGTGATTTATTGGAGGAAAATGTGTTTCTTAAATTCTATTCTCTCAATGGCCACAAAATAAATTTTAAACTTTACAGTGAGTAGGCAATATAGCCTGATGACACTTATGAGGGATGCAAGGTATGAGGACACAAATCTTGCCTTCAATAAGCTTTCAGTTTAGTCAAAGAAACAAATCATCAAATGTTGGTCTTTGAGATGGTAACCAAATACCTATAAGACATTTAAAAAAGGAAGAGACCAGTAAAAGCCAGAACAGTGGGAAGGTTAGGAATTTAAGAGGACTGTTCATCTTTCCTTTTAAACATTCTTATTGTTTATAGTGTTTGGCCTTCTGATTTCCTTCATTTGGAGGAAGTCTGAAAACTGAGTCAGGCACTAGCCTTTCTCAAAACTAGCTAAGTGTGTGATAAGGAAAGTAGGTTTCACAGAAAATGAGCCACAAAAGTCAGGGACCTTAGACAAAAGTTTAGTGAGAATATGAACTCCTATGCCTACACACCAGAGCAAACACACCACCAAGAAAAAGGAAAATCACAGAGAGGCATCAAAATAGCTATAAATCCATGTGCAGTGGCTTTTAATATAAGCATTGAATGTTGGGCTGACCTCATTATATTCATTATACTTAATGATTAAGTCCTATTTCTGTCATAATTCACTGTATGACCCTGAGCAAGTCACTTCAGCTCTCCCACTTTAGTTTCTTCTCTACATGACAGCATTGAACTAATTACTAAATTCTCTCTGTGGTCCCATTTAGTTCTAATACTCTATGCTCTCCAAAATTCCAAACATCATAGTCAGCCTACTACCCCAAGTGTGATCTAAACCTCCTGACTTAAACATGAAGATGGACTTGTGTTACACAGTATAGTAAACCTGGCACTTAAATTCAAAAGACACTGCATCAGTTAGGTGGCAAAAATCACCTTCAGCTCATGAACTATTCATTTTTGCATGGTCTGACCATTGGGGATATGTGTTGGTTGGCACCCAGATGTCAGCTGGGTCTTCCCTGGCTCTTGCAAATGATGGTCATATGTTCTCTCTTTCCCAATGCAGATACTATAACAGACTTGTTCGAAGTCTCTTAGAATGTGATGAAGATACAGTCAGCACAATCAGAGACAGCCTCATGGAGAAAATTGGGCCCAACATGGCCAGCCTCTTCCACATCTTGCAGACGGACCACTGTGCCCAAACACACCCGAGAGCTGACTTCAACAGGAGGCGTACTAATGAACCACAGAAGCTGAAAGTCCTCCTCAGGAACCTCCGAGGTGAGGGGGGCTCTCCCTCCCACATCAAACGCACCTCCCAAGAGAGTGCGTAACCAGGGAGAGGTATTCACAACCTCACCAAAACTAGTATCATTTTAGGGGTGTTGACACACCAAATTTGAGTGTACTGTGCCTGGTTTGATTTTATAAAGTAGTTCCTATTTTCTATCCCCCTTTAAAGAAAATTGCATGAAACTAGGCTTCTGTAATCAAAATCCCAACATTCTGCAATGGCAGCATTCCCACAAACAGAATACATGCGATCATTCTGCCTCTCCTCAGGAGAAAGTACCCTCTTTTATCCCCTTCCTCTGTGATGTCTTTTCCCAGTTCCCCTCCAACCACCCTCAAACACAAAACATTCATGTTAACTGCCCAGTCATTGTAATTTGAAGATGTGGAGCCCTTTAGAATGGTTGCCCGGTAGAGTTAGCCGATACGAAACAACTTTATTTAAATGCATGTCTCAAATGCTCATAAAGATGTTAAATGGAATTCGTGTTATGAATCTGTGCTGGCCATGGACGAATATGAATGTCATGTCTGAATTCTTGATCTCTAATGAGCTAGTGTCTTATGGTCTCGATCCTCCAATGTCTAGTTTCCTTTCTGACACATTTACCAAATTGCTCGAGCCTGGCTCTCCAACCAGACTTTGAGCCTGCATCTTCTTGCATCTAATGAAAAACAAAAAGCTAACATCTTTATGTACTGTAACTGCTCAGAGCTTTAAAAGTATCTTTAACAATTGTCTTAAAACCAGAGAATCTTAAGGTCTAACTGTGGAATATAAATAGCTGAAAACTAATGTACTGTACATAAATTCCAGAGGACTCTGCTTAAACAAAGCAGTATATAATAACTTTATTGCATATAGATTTAGTTTTGTAACTTAGCTTTATTTTTCTTTTCCTGGGAATGGAATAACTATCTCACTTCCAGATATCCACATAAATGCTCCTTGTGGCCTTTTTTATAACTAAGGGGGTAGAAGTAGTTTTAACTCAACATCAAAACTTAAGATGGGCCTATATGAGATAGGAAAAACCAACGATTTATCTGAAGGACCCCAGGTAAGATGTTAATCTCCCAGCCCATCTCAACCCAGAGGCTACACTTGACTTAGACCTATCTTGAAACAGCTCTGTCACTCTAACTGGGAATTATCGAAACCATAAAGAGCATCCCTTTGGGCTTGGACCACTGAGTGTGATAAGGCCTACTGTACTCTGGGAAGTGGCAATTATTCATTGCCATCTTCCATCAGTGCCTGGCCCTCTGGAAAGTGATGATGGTGTGGGAGATTTTCCACTAACTCAATCAGGAATGAGTCAATCAGCCTTTGGGTCTTTAGTCCGGGGGACTTGGGGCTGAGGGAGTATAAATAACCCTGGGCTGTCCAGCCTTAATAGACTCCTCTTACACTTTTGTCCTATAGCACGCTGCCTGCCAAAGTAGTCCTGGTAGCTGGACCATCTCTGTAGGATCTTAAAAAAAAAAAAGAAAATTTAAAAAAAGAAAAAAAAGATAGAAAGAAGGAGGGAAAAAGAGCTGGTGGTTTGATCATTGTTTGCCGTGATGTTTACAAGATGGCGACCACCAAAGCCAAATGATAAACCTATCTATGAACAACAGTAGTTTCTCAGGGTCACTGTCCTTGAACCCAACAGCCCCTTATGAGCATCACTGCCCACCAAAGGTCAATGTGGAGAGAGGAAGAGGGAGGAGGGGTAGTTCTGCAGGGGCCGCTCCAAACTCGCTTGGGTAGAAACTATTGGTGCTTGACTCTCACTAGGGTAAACTCGAGTTGACCAAATTGAGTGATAAGGACCCTGGTGGGAGGAAGGAGGGCACCTCTCCAGAAAAATGAAAAGCAATACAACTTTACCATAAAGCCTTTAAAACCAGTAACGTGCTGCTCAAGGACCAAGATCAAGTGCAGCAGACCCAGCAGCAGCAGCAGCAGCAGCACAAACGTTGCTGCCTTTGTCCCCACACAGCCTCTAAGCGTGCTGACATCAGATTGTTAAGGGCATTTTTATACTCAGAACTGTCCCATCCCCAGGTCCCAAACAAATGGACACTGCCTTAGCCTCTTGGAAATCAGGTAGAGCATCTTCTAAGTTACACACTTCCCCTCTCTCCCCCACTTCCCACGCCAGGCAAGGCTGACTTCTCTGAACCAGAAAAGCTAATCAAGTGTGTGTGTTGTGTCCATTTTGCAAACCCACTAAGCCAGAACCCCAAAGTGACAAGTAGTTCATGAGGATTCCTAGCAAAATTCTTATTTCAGTCCAATAGATTCTCTCACCCTCTTTTCTTTTTCCTTTTTGCTGTGATCTCTTCAAACCGTGGTACCCTCCTTTTCTCCCCACAGTGATATTTATATATGATCTACAATACATATATCTACATGTGGAAAGAAGCAGTTCTCATACATAATGTAGCTAGTTTTTGCGTCTTTTTTCCCACCCCACTCCCTCCGACTCTTCCTTAAACTTCCAAAGCTTCGTCTTGTGTTTGCTACAGAGTGATTCGGGGGCTGACCTAGACCAGTTTGCATGATTCCTCTATTGTGATTTGGTTGCACTTTAGACATTTTTGTGCCATTATATTTGCATTATGTATTTATAATTTAAATGATATTTAGGTTTTTGGCTGAGTACTGGAATAAACAGTGAGCATATCTGGTATATGTCATTATTTATTGTTAAATTACATTTTTAAGCTCCATGTGCATATAAAGGTTATGAAACATATCATGGTAATGACAGATGCAAGTTATTTTATTTGCTTATTTTTATAATTAAAGATGCCATAGCATAATATGAAGCCTTTGGTGAATTCCTTCTAAGATAATAATAATAAAGTGTTACGTTTTATGGATTTTTCCCCCCATGTCTTTCATTGTTATTCTTTTAAAGCTTCTGGAATGAGAATTTCTGACTGTGATGTCACTGGCTGGTTAGTTCTCCTTAAAGCACTAATTGTCAATATAAAAATGAACCTGGTTTAAAGGAACATTTTCCAAATTTCTTTAAAACCATTCAGTAATTCCCATTACCTTCATGATAAAATTGAAACCCAATCTCCTTTCAAGGTTAACTCTACTTTCACTCTGTTCAGTGGCCTTCTGCATGACAACGGCATAGACAGTGCTGGGAGAAATGTGTCCTGTCTCCCTACAAGATCTTTATTTATACCTTTGTCACTTTTTGGAAGATTTTTCCCTTTACTCTCTGCCTAGACTCAAAGCACCCAGGGGACAGGTGTATCCCCAGCATAAAAAGAGTGTCCTCAATACTTTAAAGGATTTAGGAAACATTGGAAGAGTGGAAAAAGACAACTGAATAGATAAGACAAGGAAGGCAGACAGCTTTGCAGTTATGACAACCAGCAGACCTGGGTTCAGACTTCTGGATTGGAATTCTGACTCTGTCACTTACTAATTGCATGAAATCTGATGAGTCATTTAATCTTGAAGGGCATCAATTCCCCTCTATAAAGTGGGGATAGGGATGGTGATTACATAGAGCTACTATAAGGAGATAAAGTAAGTGAGCAGCTCACAACAGTCCCAATATGCAGTAAGTGGCAGCTATTCTCATCATGGGCTAGAGGACAAGGACAGCAATTCCCCATCACAGAGAGTGGCAGTAGGATTCACAGTGTCATAGCACTTACCTGGATCTTGATGGATGGTTACCAGCTCACAGAAAATGGGGGAACTTCTGTGAGGAAATTTTTTTCAAGACGGATCTTATATAGTTTTTCAATTAGTGGCTTCTTCTTATCGTTTAAATTCAAATGAGAACATTTTTCCCAATATCATTCATTCCTGTCTCCAAACTGCCCTTTCCCAAGTACAGACGTGTACAGGGCAACTAACAAACAGAACAACTGTCACTTCAAGGCAAAAATGTGTTGCGTTTACTTTCCTTGGCCAAGGAAAAAGATCACATTTCTTTCATTATTATCCCCAGTCTTCTATCAAAATTTTTTATACAGAGAGGCTGAACTCTAGGCTAATATAGTGTTAAAAGAACCTAGACCTACAATTTCTGAGACCCAAGGTCAAATCCTAGTTCTCCAACTATCTCAGTGGCTTTGGGCTAACTTCCCACCATAGGCTGTTTGGTGGTGGTGGCGGTGGTAGTGGTATTTTGTTTTGTTTTATGGTGGTACTAATTTGAGCTCAGAGCCTTGTCACTTGAGCCATACCTCCAGCCCTTTTGCTTCAGCTATTTTTTCAGATAGGGTCTCAGGTTTTTGCCCAGGGCCAATCCAGACCTTAATTCTTCTATCTGTGCCTCCCTCAACACTAGACTCACTGCACATAACACCACACCTACCTTATGTGTTGAAATGGAATCTCACTAACTGTTTGTACAGACTGGCCTCAAGCCATGATCCTGCTGACTCTTCCTCCCAAGTAGCTGGGATTACAGACATGACCATTATGAACACGATTACAGATACAGACATGACTATGCCTGACCACCTTAATTTTTTTATTGTTGTACTAGGTGGAGGTACATTGGAGTATTTACAAACGTTCTTACCATGTATCACATATATCACACTTGAATTCACCCCCTCCACTGCTCTCTTTCATTCCCCCCATTCCTGGAACAGTTTCAACAGGTATCATTTTTGCATTTACTTACATGTGTGTACATTATTTGCACAGTACTTCATCCTCCTACCCCTTTCCTCACCCCTTTCCCCCTCCCCCATAATCTTATGAGGTAGGGACAACTAATAGGTCTTACCTCTAAAAGTGGCTGAGAACTAAATGTGTTACAAGTAAAGCACAATGTCTGATACCTAGCAATTACCTTCAGAACAATATTTATTGAGCAGTCAACAAACAGAGCTATTATCATTTACACTCATGCCATCACCACCACTTAGATTCTACTCCCATCTTTAATGTGAGTCTTGAGATAGTATTTTGTATGGGGAATTTTCTCTTGCCCTTTTTTCCTTTTGTGTATTACTATACATTGTTGTATAAGACATATTTTCCTAATTTGAATTATAAAATATTGGAACCTCCAAAAAAAAGTGGAAATTAAGCCATGATGTTAAAAATCAAAACACCCTTCCCTTCACCAAGCTTATGAAATCAAGTAACACAAGACATCATAGTCTCCTAGGTAAGCCTCCAATGACACATTGACAATCCATGACTTTAAGACCCTTTGAAAAGTAGTAGTAGTTGAAGAAAGGAGAACTTCCCATATTATTGAAATATCTAAATTTTTTTTTAATTCTATCAGTTTTTCAAAAAAAGGTAGCAGAGATCATGGTATGGTGTGTAACTCTGTGGCATGAGAGAAAAAAGAGGTAAGGTCATCCCTCCGATGGCATCTACACGGATGTCACCAAGAGAGATCAGCATGACTCCAAAATCAGTGCTTCATAGAATTACCATGCACACAAATCCCCTGGAGAGCTTGTTAAAATGATGGTTGTGCCTGGGTGAGGTCCAGGAGTTCCCAGAAGATGCTCACTGTTGCTCCCAGGAGGATGCTTTGAGTAGCAAGGTCCCAGCTACCACGATAGACCTGAATCAGCTCCTCCACCCCACAGCCCTCCTCACAGTCATGGCAGAGATGCTACTTAAGGCCAAGTTTGATTGCTTCACTTCCCTGCCTTAGTGGCTCTCCACTGCTTCAAAGACAAAAATCAAGCATCTTGACTTCAACTATGGGCCCTTCATCCAGCTTGCCCTCTGGAGGCTGCAGATGCTAGCTTCTTGTTATTCCCCCAAAGACAACATGAGCTTTCCTGCCTCATCACTTTGACATATTATCGTCACACGTATCGTTCCTTCTAATGAATAGACTTCCCCACAAACTCTTTCTCATTCACCAAAGCCTCTTCCCCAGCACAGCTAAGCATGCAGCAGATTTGTACTGCCACCTGCTTTCAAAGAGTAAAGGTCTAAGTCATTCTTGTATTCTTGATGCTTAACCCAAAGCCAACATGCACTAAGCATCTGCGAAGGAAGGAGGGAAAGAAGAAAGGAAGGAAGGAGGGAGGGAAAAAAGAGAGGAAGGAAGGGAAGGGGAGGGAAGGAGTTTATTCCACCACCACTACCAATTAACTCATGTGTTTTTCTCCAGTAGGGGGCTAAGGCCTTAACATCCACAGCAGAGTATTCTGGGGGATAGAGAACATGTTGCCATGGTATATAGAGAAACTAACTCCAGGTACCAGTTTCCCAAAATTAATTCCAGATTTCCTTCCAGATATCCTGCCTGTTTGTAATAACAGTATATAACCACATTTCTTTCCAGCACTGGCCCTGTTAAAAGTGTTCAGTAACTATTGTTTTCTCTTGCTAATCTGAGCAACAGGAGACTCATCAACAAATGTTTAAATATTTGCTAAAGATACCCATGGCATCATAGTAAAGAGCTGGGACACAGAGAGAATATGATCAAGTGCAGGTCAGACTGCATCATAATTCCTGCATTCTAAT